AGATTCAACAGAAGCAAACTGGGGAATCAGACCCTTTAAAACAGGAAGAAATGACCTAGTCTATTATGCCATCGCATTAACAGATCTTTATTGACATTATTATGCCTAACACTAGATTGATTTGCAACATAATAAGAATTTGGCCTTGCTTTCAGCAAATACAAGACACTGTCCTCACGTCCACTTCCAATCGTATTCCCCGTGTCCAAGTCCTGAAACACATAGTGAGATGGAAAAAAGGTTACACTACAATTCAAGCCTTTTGTAATGTGACTGACAGAAAGGAGGTTATTGGTTAACTTTGGGACGTGAAGAACAGAGGATAAGGTAAGATTAGGAGAGGCAGAAACAGTGCCCTTCCCCGCAATGGAGGTGAAGGTGCCATCAGCCACTCTAACCTTATCCTTACTAGAATATAAATTGTACGAAGAAAAATCATATGCCATACCAGTCATGTGATTAGTGGCTCCTGAATCAATGATCTAGGGTGGTCCACCAAATAATGTGGAAGCTTGATGTGCCGAATGAGAGGTACCTGTCTGAGCGAAGTTAGAGGTGGAGACGAAGGAATGTTGTGCTAGTAGATGTCAAAAAGCATTAAGTGCAGCCCCGGACAAAGAACTCAGTGGCCTTGGGGAGGCATGACCAGTAGAAGCAGTCTCACGCTCTGCAGTATGTGCCGTGGCTAACCCCCCAAATGGACTAGGCCTTGGCCTAGCATTCGCATCAGCAGGAGCTGGAGTAGGGCGACTGTGTAAATTCTAGCATGTTTCCCTAATGTGCCGCGTACGCCTACACTGATCACACCTCAACTTGCTTTTGTCATCCTGTTTCCCTCCTTTTGGAGGATTGGGCTTGTTCCATTGTTGTGTGGCAAGAGCAAGCCTCTCAGACAATGGTACTTCTGGCTCAGGCTTAGTGTATACAGGTGCAGACATAGCCTTCATTCTACTCTCCTAAGCCTGGATATATGAAAACACATCTCTAACAGAAGTAGGGGCTGGATACATGCGTAACACTTGTACCCTGGCATACTCCTATCTCGGATGCAAACTACCCAAGAACTCATAGATTTGATTCCTTTCTACCACAGCATTAAATGCTTTAACATCAGCTGCACACACAGGTATGTAGTCTAGGTAGTGATCTAACTCTTCCCATTTACCACGTAGAGTGTGGTAATATGTAGCAAGAGTTTGGTCTTTTTGCTTGAATCTTGAAATTTGTTGTTGGAGTCTATACAGTTTTGCAAAATTACCAACCGAGGAATACGTCTCTTCCACAGTCGTTCATAGCTCTTTAGCTGTTTTCACAAACAAAAACCCTTTGCTGATCTATGGTTGCATGGACTGCGACAACCACGTCATAACTAGTGCATTATTTGCACTCCACTCTTTGAATTCAGGATTGCTCTTGGAGGGATACGTGATAGTCCCTTCGATATGGTCGATCATCCTACGACCAGTGATTTGCATGCAAGCAGATTGAGCCCACTCCATATAGTTCATCTCATCCAGCATAATAGTCGTAATACAATAGTCGTAATACAAAGGCCTAGATGGTGATCACTACTACCTCCCAATACTGGAGTCAGACTAGGAGAAGACCCAGCTGCTTTTGAAGTCACCTCTGAGCCAGACATTTTATCAAACAATTTCTGGATATACAATCCTTAGAAACAAAAACAGCAACAAAATACGTAGAGAATCACCTTTCTAACACAAACTTCAACTAAAAATATTACTGTCTTCTGAGATACATAAAAAGGCGACCACACAGTCACCACACAAACTCTAGAAAGCAACAAAGTAGACCATATCAGAATCGTGAACGACGAAGAAAAAATCGCTATTGCAGAACCTCGCGAACACAAAAAAAAAACACCGATCAAGATTGCAATAGCTATAAAAAAAATCCCATCTTGGAATCTCTCCAAAACCCTTCACACCCACTAGGGCTTACACAAACTTGCCCTAGGGTTTCAACTACAAACCTAGAGCTTTATAAACCATTCTCTGATACTATGTTGACTTTTAGATATAATGAAATCGAAAGTGAGTGATAAAGAAGAAGAAGAAAAAGAGAATAAAGCAGATGAGAGGAAGAGAGAGAGAGAGATGGGGAAAGAGAGAAAGAATGAAAAGAATACTTTCATCCTTCCACTACATTCTATTTATAATAATAAGTTTCAGAAATTACACATAAGCCCCAACGTTATATAAGTAATAACAAATAAGCCAGTAACAACAATATCTGCTAACACTCCCCTTCAAGTTGGTGCGTGGATATCTGAGACGCCCAACTTGGACAATGCATCTTCAAACACGGTCTTGTTAGCACCCTTCTTCAGAATCTACAAGTTGTAGAGGGCAAATCCGAATAGCGATGATTTTCTCTCAAATGAAGTGCTGATTTACAATTAAAAAATGTCTCCTCAAACTATAAACAATTAACAATGTTTCCTTAGACCATAAACAACTAATCATGTCTCCTCAGACCATAAACAATTGACAATGTCTTCTCAGATCATTTCCCTTCATATACATGTTTAAAACATATAGATGGAAGAATCAACAATGTCCTCCTCAAACCATTTCCCTTTATATATATGTTTAAACAATATAGATGAAAGAATCAACACAGTCTCCTCAAACTATAAAAAGAAACACTTATGTCTCCTTAGACCATTTCTGAATAGGTGGTGGCAAACTCACAACAAGTGTGAATGATAAAGAGAGAAGATGAAAAATCATGCTACCGAACACACCGACTACCCAAACAAGTCAACAAAAAATTGTCGGGGACACAGTATAGGCGAGGACAATGCTACCAAACACACCGGCAGCCCAAACAAGTCGATAAAAATTGTCGGAGACATGGCAAAGAAGAAGACAATGCTACCAAACACACTGGTAACTCAAACAAGTCAATAAAATTTTTTGGAGACACGGCAAAGGCGAAGAACATTACTGCCGAACAAACCGGCAACCCAAACAAGTCACAAATAATACCGAGAAACCCTTTGCAACATTTCAGATGCTAAGGGAACACCCCCAAAATAGGGGTCTGAACCTAAGAAGAGAAATTAGGCTTTGATATCATGTTGTAAATAATAAAATAGAAGTGAAGAGAGAAATTAAACAAGAAGAACACATATATTACGTGGTTCAGCCACTGAGGCCTACATCCATGACACAAAGAGCCCAAAGGGTTACATCACTTTTATAATACTCTCTCAATTCATACACAATACAATGGTGGAAGCTCCTTTATATAGGAGAAGAAATTATGAGAATGGAAAGAATTAGATAATAGGAAACGAGGAGGATTTTTCTCCACTGATTCCTCTAGTAACACCAAATCTTCAATAATAGGAATCAACATCAATTACTGAAAGATTTTCCTCCACTGATTCCTCCATTAAATCCTCTATAATACTCCGTATAAAAATACGTATATTTATTTTGAGTCGTGTTGCCACCATATCTATGTCCTTTTGTGTTGAGAACTTTTGTGATGATGTGTCCTTGGCACCTTGCCATGTCATATCTACATTCCTTATCATCTTCGTTTCTTGGACCTTAAGAGTGACAGTGCTGGAGACGTGTAACCTTAAATCTGTCTGATTTAAATCCATACTCAAAAGTGGAATAGGTAAAATATGAAGTGCCTGCCCCTTTCTGTGGTTTAGGATGTCTACATTTTCTACGATATTGACATAAGTGAAAGTTTGCTTCATAATAATCTAGCTGCCGCTATATTTTTTGTGTTTTTATCACAACCAGAGGGGGAACGCCTGTAGTTAAAAATGAAATTTGAATTTTTTTTTTACTTTCTATTCTTTGTAGCATTTGGCCTTTGACCCGTAGCGAAGTTTGGCTTGCCAATTTGTTGGAACCCAAAGTTTACATCCTACATATTGATGCCTAGAGTGGCCATCCAATGCATGGATGTTTGGATAGATTATATTCAATGCAATGAAACTTTTATATATTTTTTTCTTCAAAAAACCTTTTTATTGCTTCAGAATTGGGACTATTATTTGTTTGTGATTCAATCTTTCAAGTTAAGAGCTTAAATAAAACTTGTATGCATGATGCATGAAAAATTGGAGAGATCTTTTAATTCTTTCACATTTCAGTGCTTTAAAGTTTCCAAACATGTATATTAATTAATTTAATAAAGTTCCGTTGTTACCTTTCACTGAATATTAGTTTGTGTGTGTGTGTATATATATATATGTGTGCTATTTCATGCTTCTTAGGTGGTGTTTGATAAATTAAAAGTTAAAAAGTACTGGAAATTTAAGTGCTGAAGTTTTAAGCTGTAATTATAAACTCAGATTTTTATTTAATTTTTTTTTTTTTGCTCCTTTTTTTTTTTTTTTTTTTTTTTTTTGCTCTTTTAAGTGTTCAAAACATTCACTGATAAGTGAAGTCATCGTCTAAGTGATTTAAAATGCGTTATCAAACTCAGTTAATCGGATAAACACTTAATCCATTCAGAATTAAGTGATTAGGTTATCAAAAAACATTTCAATCGCTCTGTTTTGTGATGTCAACTTCCAAAGTCATGGATTAACCACTCCCTTTAGTAATATTATGTTTACCATGAAATCCTCTGTACAATATCTGCGGCTGTTTTTATTACAATATGTGGTAAACGTTTGAAAGGGAAGGTTTATATATATCTGGTTGTGATAGGCATATTTGGTTTCATATGGATAGTATGACTGGAGAGCATGCATCAGTTTGACCAAACCATTGCATCCAGACTTGTTTCTCTTGCTCATATGTTTTTGCTTTCGGACCTAGCAATTAGAAAATAATGTGATTGAAAGTTTGATAAAGTTTGTTATCATGATGTTTGCTTCTAGTTACTTATTAAAAGAAAAAAAAAAAAATAATGTTTGCTTCTAGTTGAAGTACAGTTAGAAATATGCGAATTATACAGTGCCATCTTCAACCCTGATGTCATTGACTGTCAATTGAATTTTTCAGGCCTCCAGCAACATCTTGGTTCTCTGGTCAAGCAAGCAATCTCTCTCCTCTGCTTAGTATTTCATAAACCTTTTGTGGTGGTGTTGGTTGGATTTCTGATTTGATTGAAGTAGGTTTTGTTTTTTTTTTTTTTTGTTTTCTTTTGGTTGTTTTTATTTTCTTTCCCTCCCCTCTTTTGCTTCTTATTTCAATAAATATCATGCATATAAGTATGACAAATATGCTAACATTTATATTTCTGGTTATTATATTGTTTACAGGAGATTACTGGACGCAGCATCGTCTACTGAAAGAATGTTCCAGTTGTGCATGGGGAGAACCTTACAGATGTATCATGATTCTGATTGAAAAGTATGTCATTTCTTGTAGCTACTTCTGTGCAGTCAGACTTGTGAGTGCTCTATTTCAGTCTGGTATCACTTCCTTTTTCATTTTTTTTTTCCCTTTTAAAATTTCCTTGTGTAAGCTCCACGTGTCAATGTGCAAAATTGTATCTAAGGGTTCTTATTTCGGATTCAGTCAAAAATTGCTACGTGGGACTTGTACTGAATTCTATAGTGCCATTTTAGCATGAAGTTCTAAAATAATGGCACTTGAGGGTTTCAAATATGGCCTCTATTGATTCTTCTAATGTAGTATTACCAAAATTTCCATTGATCCCTGTATGTTGTGGATGGATTCTTTATTTGTACAAAATTAAGCTGATCTTTGAATGTGCCATTGCAGATTTAGATTGAAATGTCTAAATTATAGTTGGTCAAACCAAGTAATGTTGTAAAGTGTGCTTTAGAAGTACATTTTTCTTGGTCTTTAGACTTCTACTTTCAGTGGGCTTTAAAATTGTATTCAGGGGCAGTTTGATATCTGATTAATCTGAGTCTGGATCTACTAAAATCAGCTAAAATGATCATGTTAGTCAGCAGTTGGGTATGGCAACCTGTTCATACATCAATGCAAATAAAATTTTGTGAAAGGTCTGCTTGGTTTGTAACTTTGAGAACAGTTTTTTGTTTTTCAGAAAACTGTTCAAAAATTCTGTTTGGTTCAGTTTTTTTAAAACTCTGTAATAAAAAGGCAGTTATCTTAAAACAGTTTCCTGTTCTCTGAATTTTTGAGAACTTTTTTCAGAGTTACAAACCAAATAGGTCCTCATTTTTCGCTTGAGTGGATTCTTTTGATATGGAGAACAGAAAAATGTGTTGTCGCTTTTGATATGAAGAACAGAAAAATGGGTCGAAGACAGAGACATCAAATTGGTATGAGGCGTGTTCTCTTTTCTCTTTGTTTGTTTGAGGGAAGGTAGTGGATGGGGCTGACACCCTCATTTGTTTGGTAGGAGTGGTCTTTTCCATTTGTTTGGTATCCGTATCTAGTTTTCTTGACATTTGTCGTATTGCTATGTTTTAACAATTGGTTGAGCAAACCAAATGGTGTTAATATGTAACCAAATCTTTGAGGAGGAGTGAACGTTGAGTGAGCACATAGTATGATATTTTGCTTTGGGCCTGAGCCCGACAAGTTATATAACTTCTTTACGTTTACCTTATTCAGACGATGTGGATTGCAAGAGTAGCTCTTTTAGTGTCTCAACATAGGTCGTCACAATGAGTGTTTCCAATTGATAAAGAAGATGATGCTATTGTCAAACTATTTTGATATGGTGGCAAAACAATCATTCCTGATGAATGAAAATAAAGCTGACTTGGTGATCAAGCCAGTGATAGATCAACAAAAGATATTCGGATAGGGGTGGTGGTTGTGGTGGTGCTAACTAGCGTGAAACGAAAAGAAATCCAAGTTGGTGATAGTGATGGATCAAAAGATGTTTTGATTGGGGTGGTGACGCTGAAATTGGTGGTGCTACGGAGAGAATGGGGAGGTGACTGAATTGGAGGAGAAATTTTGAAATGGAGATGAACAACTTTCAATAATCTTAGTAATTTCGTCATTTTATAGTGAATGTGGAAAGCATATTTTAGTTTTAATAACGTGAAATTACAAATTAATTAAATTTATTTATTTATTTTTTTCTTCAAGAAACTAGGTATTTACTGATATTAAGAAACCTAAAAATCCAAATATCATTGCAAATGAAATTCTGTGAAAAGTAACTGATTATTAATAGTATTAATAATCAGTATTAATATGTAATCAAATTGGAGTGAATGCTGCGTGAGCACATGGTATGATATTTTGCTTTGGGTTTTAGTCTGACAACACATATAATTTTTTCACTTTTAAAATATTTAGATTAATGTGGGATTGTACGTGTAGCTTGTCTAGTGTCTCACGTCTGTCCAAATAGGTCGCCATAATGAGTGTTTCCAACTGATAAAGAAGATGATATTGCCGAACTACCTGATTTGGTGGCGAATAATCATTAAAAAAATAAAAACCTATAGACCATACATGTAGTATATGCATGCTCAAAAGAGGAAATATCAGCTTTGAAATTTTAGATACTGTTGCAATTCTGTATATTTTCCTCACCAAACAGTTTTCGAGCAAGGCGGTGAGCCTCAAACAAGTTAACTCCTCTTTTATTTCTGTTAGTTTCCTGCAATACCGTATGGATTCGATTCGATTCTATCATTTTGATGGAAAGTTAAAAACAAGAAAATGTATTCTATAGCTTAAATTGATATTTAACTAACATGCATGATACTTGCCGAAAAAATCATGGATGATCAGTGTGATGATTTTGATGAATCACATTGAAATGTTCAAGCTCAAATTTGATGCTCTAAATAAGAAAATGTAAGATTAAAGTAATGTGTATGAGCAGTGTGATGATTTGATCACAGTAATCACACTTGATCACATAGTACATGTTAGAACTCCCCCTATACATAATTTGGGTTTGGGTTAGAACAAAACGGGCAAGGCTTTTCTTACAAGTTCGCTATAAATAATTTTCTTTGTAGTTCAAAAAAGATGAGTTGGGTTCATGAACCAGAATTAGGTGTATATATATCACATGGTAAAAATAGAGGAAGAACAGGATAATCTATTACCAACTACTGCTTCTTAGTGAAACGCAATTATAGTAATTGCTAGTAGATCATTGTGTTTTAGCTACTTCCAAAACACTAAATTTGCAGCTAATCAGTTCATGAGTCACAAAATAAGAAATCAAACAGAAACTCTCACGTTTTTGTATGAAAAATCAAGTCTATTTGAAAGGCTTAAAAATTTTAAAAAGAACATTCACAACAAAAAAGAATATTCTTTTCGGTCTCTAATTCAAAAGAATGCAATGGTTGAGATAATAATCACAACTAAAAAAATTATAGGGCTTAGCGAGAGATGAGATGTGCAAGCTTTGATTTCGTGAAGCGGTGAGATAGATGTGAAGAGAGAGGGAGGGGGTGCTTTTTCACCATCTCCCTCCACTCGCGCGGGTTTTCACTATACATAAGTTTCCATTGCCGCCCAAAATCAGTTAAGCATGCCCCCATAACAATTTGGAAACCAACGGGTCAGGCTGCGATAGGGACTTTGTTGCAATTTTGACCCAAAAAAAAAACAAAAAACAAAAACTTTGCAAGCAATTCAAGAACTTATGAAGGTCATAAACTATGTTTTTAGAATCAATCTGGATTTAAAAGTTCATGAAAATGTTCACAAAACTTTACCAGTGTTTCACAATTCTGACAATTAAGTTATATTAAAATTGTAATAATATTTAAAACCAAATTCTAAGATTTTTAAAGAGACTTGAAAAGTAACATGGAGAAGTGAAAATCTCCCTAAAAATTGTAGTAAACCATGGATCTTCTTACAATATAAAAATTTGTTAACGATTTTGGAACACGGGTTGATCAGGTCTGTTCATGATATCGAGAGATAATCAAACAATTAATGCAATAAACAAACACGGATTACAAAAGATAAATAAATAATAAATAATAAAACTGAAAGAAAATTAATATTAAATTTTCCAAAATAATATCCCAATAAAATAATCCTCCAAATACTTTGATACAAATAATCCTCTAGATTACAACTCGGAAATCCATAATGTGGACCCTTAATAAAATCTTAACTAAATCAATAACTGAAATAAACAACTAAATCCAAGTCTAAAAGCATAAAATAGAATCCTAGTAGATAATCAGAAGAGTGATGAAGACTAGTCGCTTTACACAAACAATCTCTACACCTGACGAACACCTGAAAAAAATAATAGTGGGTCAGGCCTATGAACAAGTTCTACTCTACTATATCCCAAACAGAGACCCGATAAACATATGCATCATAGTCAACTCATACAATAACCACATAGTCCGTATATATATAGATACATATTAAAAGACTCTCACTAGACTATAAGGCGACCTCAACTGAATAATGGGCAACATGCAATACGCACACATAGTGGGCATGAGTACTAAAATCTACCAGGGCACTCAACTATCCACTATATCTAGCTATGCATCCCGGGCAATATACGCCCCCTAAATCCTGAGAACTCAAGCTCACATTGTGGTACATATCTATATATATATATATATATATATATATATATATATATATATATATATATATATATCTGTATCGTATCCAAAACTTAAAATAAACTATCCGCTATAGTCCTTCAGTGGCATGTCATCCACATAGTTCCGTGACCTAACACGAATAGATGAGACTTAACTTATTAGCTAGTCTATCCATAATATGCCCATATATCCTAATAATGGTACGTTAATCCATAACCAAACAATGGTTTCCACACAATCCAATAATTGATCCAAACAAATATATATACATCAAATAATTCAAAAATAAAACATGATATAAATTATATAGATATCTGTTGCATTTATTTAAGCAATATAAACAATTTAAATAGCATGTAGTTAACTTACATCACAAGTAATTAACCTATATCTCACTTTAAATAATATAAACCTCCATAGTCAATATTATAATTATTTAAATAACCTTTTTTAAATGTTAAATAATTTAAATCCATATAATCATCCATTAAACAACTTATAAGTTATTTAAAATTCCATATTGTCCAATTCCTTAACATATTAAGGTATATTATACATTCTGGGAATTTACTAAGCCTATTTAATCCATTAAAATTAAATAAATTAGGTTAAAATCAATTCTGGGCATTCAAAACGTCGTACCCAAGTTCCAGCCTAACTAAGTCATCTCCTTCTCAGAAGAAATCGACTCAGTTCCAACTGAGTTGACTCGTTTAGCAATTGAGCCGACTTAGTTGGAACTAAGTCGAATCGTTCCTGCTGCAAGTCGTTTTCTCCAACTCCAGTGACCTCTGCTCGCTCCGATCTCCTCCGTTAAGGGTCCTATGTGTTTGCACTAAGTCCCATACAATCCATAATAATTATTTTAAGCCATTATGCATTACTAGAACAAATTAAAACAAGTTTTCATACATCAAAGTTCAAAATCAAACAAACATAAACACATAAACATATATATATTGTTTTTAATCCGTTTAAGCATGCAAACATGGTCGATTTTAATATTTAATTATCCTGGAATTGACCTAGGCATGTATAGAACACGTGATCAAATCAGAAGAGTTAGAAGAAGAACTTGCCTTAAAGATTTCGGATTGAAAACCTTAAACCTCCTTTTCTGCGTTCTTCCTCTGATTCTGGGGACCTTTGGTTGCCTTC